GGCTGGGGGGACCCGCAGGGGCGCGGCTCGGCTCTGGGGGGTCCCCCGCACGTACAATGGTACCCCGCCCTCGGATCTTGCGCCCGGACTTGGACACGGACGGCTTGGCCTCGCCGGCGGCGGGAGGCGCGTCGGGAATCTTCCTGGAGAAGACACGGGGAAGGTGCAGAGGCGGCGGCGGCCCCGGGCTCGGGGCGGGAGGACGCGGGGAGCCCGGCCCGGGACAGGACGGACGGGACCGGAGGCTCCTGCACGGCCGGAGGCGGCGCTGGGCTCGGGCGGCAGAACGCCCAGGGCCTGCCCCCACCCCACCCCAAAACAGAGCTAAACAGAGTTAGTTCACCTCTTGTGAGAACCACAGCCTCATCCCCTCAACGGCAGTCATCCCCGCTGCCCGCACCCCGAGGCCCCCAGCCCCCCGCAGGGAATCCCGTGTCCTCCAGAGGCTCAGGCAGGAGGCCCGCAAGGTGAAGGCCGGCCTGGGCTACACAGCAAGCTGAGATTCAACCTGGGCCGAGGAGGAAGACCCTATTTCAAAACAACCCGCCACACTCCTTAACCACCGGGCACAATCTCCTTCCCGGTACTTGGGTGGAAGGTGCATTCTGAAAGGTGAAATACATGTCATGCTTTTTGGGGTTTTTTTTGCGGGTCCTGGGGCTTGAACGCAGGGCCTGGGCGCAGGCACTTACGGCTCGGGCTCCGCAGCCACCGCAGGCATGTCCCTTCGGAGTAAGAATCGGTTCTCTGGCACCGGGGGGATCTCCTCCGGGCGGACCACAGGCTTTTCCCTCTTGACACTGGACTCCACGGACCTTTTCTCATTGGCATCGCTTCTCTCAGAGTGACTTGGAAAGAAACAGCAAGCCGCCCGTGAACACCTGTCACGCGTGCATTTCATCACAATAAAGGGCATGCAGAACTAGACGTGAAGATGACAACAAGGCTGGGAAGGTGGCTCTAGGGTAGAGTGAGCATCTTGCATGCATGAGGCCCTGGGTTCAATTCCTCAGCACCAAGGAAGCAGAAAAAGCCAGAAGTGGTGCTGTGGCTCAAGTGGTAGAGCATCAGCCTGGAGCTGAAAAGCTGAGGCCCAGGCCCAGAGTTCAGGCCTCATGATCGACCAAAGGGGGGGGGGCAGGGGAGACAACAAAACTGCCTGTGGCTTACAGGTATCACTCCAAGGGCCAACTTTCATCAAGTGGACCATCCACACAGTGAAAACCTTGGCACCCTAAAACTGAGCTGTGGAAAGTCTCAAAAGTTTAACAGCCTCTTCTTAAACTTTCCAGGGCCTGGGAATGCTGCGTCTGTCTCCAATACTACCTTTGTAGCATGAGAAGGATCAGCCTGAACGCAAGTTACAGAGAACCCGCCACAAAACTCAGCGAGCCAGGTGCAGCTGCTTGGGAGGGCAAGCAGGAGACCAAAGGCTCAGAGACTACGTGACTCAGGTCTGTTATCCTAGCCACAGAGGAAACACAATGACTGAGGCACCGTGGGTGATCAAACTGCGACCCTAATTGGAAAACGGAATTCAAAAGAGCAGGAGGCGGGGCTCCGATGGGAGAGGACCTACCTAGCAAGCACACAGCCCCGAGATCAGTCTCTAGTACTGTCAAAAAATACAAGGGCCATGCCCAGGCCCTGAGTTCAAGTCCTGGGACTGGCAAAACAAACACAAACACAAAAACAAAGGAAGCTAGGTACGCAGGCCTGTGGTCCCAGCTACTCTGTGGTCCTAGCTATTGGGAAGGTAAAGATCCAATGAAGAAGAAACATCAAGGTGAGTTTAAGCACTGGTGGCTCACGCCTGTCATCCGAGCTGAGATCTGAGGATCCGTAGTTCAAAGCCAGCCCAGGCAGGAAAGCAATAAATTACCAAAATAGCTGGAAGTGGAACTGTGGCTCAAAGTGTTAAGATTGCTAGCCTTCAACAAAAGACGCTCAAGGATGGCACCTAGGCCCAGAGTTCAAGCCCCAGGACTGACAAAAACAACAACAATAAAAAACAAGAATACCCCGCTGGGCGCCTGGTGGCTCATAACCTGCAATCCTAGCTCCTCAGGAGGCTAAGAGCTAAGGATCATGGTTTGAAAGCCAGCCTGGGCAGAAGAGTCCCTGTGAGATTCTTATTTCCAATTGACCACTCAAAAAATGGAAGTGGCGCTGTGGCTCAAGTGGTCGAGTGCTAATCTTAAGCAAAAGAAGCCCAGAGACAGTGCCCAGGCCCTGAGTTCAAGTCCCATGACCAACAACAACAACAAAAAAAAACAAGCAAGCAAACAAACAAAACTTTCAAGGTCAGCCTGGAAAAAAGTATGGGCCTATCTGAAAAATAAAGTAGGCCATGGCTCAAGCAGAACAGCACATGGCTAGAATCCTAAGGCCATGAACTCAATCACACACACACACACACACACACACACACACATACACACTTACCAGAAAACACACAAATCTTTTTTTTTTTTTTTTTTTTGTGGCCAGTCCTGGGACTTGAACTCAGGGCCTGGGCACTGTCCCCTGAGCTTCTTTGGCTCAAGGCTAGCACTCTACCACTTGAGCCACAGCACCACTTCCAGCCTTTTCTGTGTATGTGGTGCTGAGGAATGGAACCCAGGGCTTCATGCATGCTAGGTGAGCACTCTACCACTGAGCCACCTTCCCAGCCCCCACACAAATCTTGGATATATGTCTATAATAGTCCTAGACTGTCCAGATTTCAGTTCACTTGAAGTCCAAAAATGCTATCCTTTTTAACAACAGGTAACAAAACTGAGTAAGGAATTGCACCCCTCCTCCTCGGCTGGGGTCTGTGTGCAGGAGCGGAGGAAAGCCGTGTCAGCGGGCCACACCTACACCTACACCTACCCCTTGGGGCTCAGCGTAGGTTTGTTCCTCGGCTCCTCTGAGCTACTGGCTTCCCTCCGTCGCTTTTTGGAATGTTTGACCTTTGGCCTCCTCTTCCGCTTCCGTCTTCTGCTCCGTCCCCGTTCGATCTCGCTGTCTGAGGAGGACGAGGACGAGGAAGAGGAACTGGAAGAAGATGCTGAGTCTTCTGAAGGTGTTGCTTTCTTCTTTTTTTTCTCAATAGCTTTTAAAACAATATTGGACAGAAATATTAGTGCTAGATGCCAGCACCTATTTTTCAGAGTAAAAAACAAACAAACACAACAACAACAATCTGATCTTTAAGTAGCACGTAATGTTTGTTACTTGGCCGACCCTTGATCTTGAACTCAGGGCCTGGGCACTGTCCTTCAGCTCAAGGCGGGCGCTCTACCACTAAGCCACAGCACCACTTCCGGCTTTTTTGGAGTGACTTATTGGAGGTTGAGTGTCACAGACTGCCGGGTGTCGGTGTCTCACACCTGGCATCCTAGCTCCTCAGGAGGCAGAGATCTGAGGATCGCAGTTCAAAGCCAGCCCAGGCAGGAAAGGCCGTGAGACTGTTAATCTCAAATAAACCACCAGAAAACCGGTAATGGCTCTGTGGCTTAAGTGGCAGAGCGCTTGTCTTGAGATGAAGAGCTCAAGGACAGCGCCCAGGCCCAGAGTTCAAGCCCCATGACCGACCAAAAAAAAAAAAAAAAAGGTGATCAGAGCAAGGAGAGGGGGGCGAGGCAGTTATTGTGAGGATCCTGCTCTGAGTCCGGCCTGCGATGACAAGGTTTTTCTCTCACAAGACCTCTGCCGTACACGCATGCGTGCTTTGGTCGTACGGCTCGTCGGTGTCTAGGTCTGTGTGCATGAGGGGCATCCACGCTTGCCTCACCCCAGTGTCTCAAGCACCCCCCCCCAATCTGGAGAGTTCTCACCATCTTTTGCGGACTTGGTAGCCAGCACCCCGCAGTCGATAACGCGCACATCTGCGTAAGGGCGACTTGCAGCGTCTGTTTTCAGGTTTTCAATCTGTTCGATGACCTCGAAGCCGGAGATCACCAGGCCGAACACCACGTGGACCCTGTCACCGCCAAGCCAGAGCGGTGGGAGAGGGAAGCAGCGATGGCAGGAGAAATTAAGAGGGGAGGAACTCGACATCGAAGGAAACCACCCCGCTTTGAGCATCTGGACCCTGGCTTTCCGACGTCAGTGTAAATGATCTCATTAACAAGTTAGATCACACTTGATAGAAAGAAAGAAAACTTTTAATTTTTTTTTTGGGGGGGAGGGTGTCAGTTGTGGGGTCTCAACTCGGGACCTGGGCGCTATCCATGAACTCTTGCTCAAAGCTAGCACTCAACTACTTGAGCCACAACGCCACTTCTGGTTTTCTTATGGTTCATGGAAGATCAGTGTCTAATGGACTTTCCTGTCTGGGCTGGCTTTGATCCAGGATCCTCAGATCTCAGCTTCCTGAGTAGCTAGGGTGACTGGCGTGAGCCACTGGCGCAGCTGAAAAGTCACTTTTTTTTTTTTGAGGGACCCTTTGGGGAAATCTCAAAATGATTGCAACCCCATGTGGACCTGAGACTTGAGATCCAGCCAGAGTGCCCTGCTGAGATTTATCCACCAGGCTGACTCCCCAAATTGCTGCCCAAGCTACTAAAAAGAAGGGGTGCTTACCCATCCAGGTGTGGAGCGGGTTTTGTCGTACTGTGTGACAAACACCAACAGAGAGATGACATCAAAAACCACACGTTCAGATGAAGAGAGCAGAGGGTTTAAACACAGCACGGGGAGGAGAAAGCAAAGATAAAAAACAAAAACAAAACAAAAAAGAAAGGGGAAAATGTTAAACAGCATATACATCTAGTCTTGAAGACCCCCAAAACAGCAATAGTAGCCAACTTACTGATTCAAACAAAGAAAAGAAAATCAAGATTATCATGAATTACAAAGTCATCTTTACTAGATAATATGCACAGCAGAACACGAAAATACCTTGCGCTGGAGTTAACAGCTATCAATGGAAAGCATAAATACACATTAGAATGGAAATGACGCTCAAGCCCAAAACAGAAGAAAAATAAATTAAAAAAAAAAAAAAACCAAAACCAAAAACCAAAAAAACCAAACACAAACCCTCAAAGATCTGTCAGCATCATTGAACATGGCAAAGGAGCTCCTGCGGCCTTGGGGGGTGTGTGTGTGTGTGTGTGAAGGCTAGCCTTGTACCCTTAACCGAGGTCTTCTCTTTGCTGCTCAGGGGGTCTGCCATCTTTTACACAGGCAGATCAGATGAAGACCTCACGAGAGCTGCCTGCGGGGCTTCCCGCCCCTTCCCTTCACAACTCTGAAAAGTTGAGTGCACAAAACGTCCCCTGTGCCAAGTCTTCTGATGTCAGATGGGGGAGCACACGGCCCTCTTAAGATTCCCAGGGGCCCCCCCTCCCCAGACCCCACACTGACCTCCTCCACAGTCAGCGTGTGTGTATGTGTGGCCAACGTGCTGTGGACTCATGCTACCCCAACTACAGGGGGACAATTCAAAGGCAGCTAACTGGACTCGGGGTGCTACTTCGGTTAGCAGCTACTTGAGAGGTGGGAGATGAATGTCCCCGGCTAGAAGCCCCCAGCTAACTCCTTCCATTCCTCTATCTTCAAGGCAGTGAGAAGACACACGATCCACAAAACACAATTTCAACCTGCACGACAATCGGAAAACGTCACCGCGGCAGAGAGTGCCGCTTATACTTACATTAAGAGCATTCGGTTCTGTAAGAGGACTACAGTATAATTAACTTGAAGAAAGTGAAATAAAAACGGCAACGTGAGAAAAGTGTGGCGAACCACAAGCCTCACATCACCTGCCTTCGGAAACTGCAGTCTAGTTAGTGCAGTTAGAAAAATACAAACAGGCAACGAGCGAGAAAATGAGAGGAAGGAAAGAAAACCAAACCGAGCCAACCTGCCGGTCACCAACGCTTGGGATCATTAAACTAGAAACTAACTTTTTTTTTTTCTTCCTTTTTATAAAACCAAAGCTCAGGGAAATGTAAGAGCAAAGTGGCAAATAAGCTAGATAGACACCGATTCTCTGAGATAAAAGACGTATATAATGTGTTCAAAAAGGTAAGAAATCAGTCTCAAAGAAAGGAACGCAATGTATGGCTTCTCTGAGCCTTCTGCAATCCTCTTTCTCAGAGTGCTGATGTATTCTGGCACTGGGGAAAGTCGATGGATTGTTCTAGAACACACAAAGCCCAAGTCAATTTGTCATCTTAAGCTAAGAGAAACACTGTAAACAGACAAACTAGCCAACCAACAAAACACCTTCTGACAAACTTTTGGAGAAAACGAGGAGGCAAAAACATGCTAGCTAACTCCGTGATACAGCAAAATGCTACTTGGCTATAGTTTGCTACCTGTACGATCCAGAGTTCTTATTTCAGGACTGGACTTGAACCGAGCTCCTTGTCTATGAAGGACAGTTTTCAATCTATATCCTCCCTGACCTCAATCATTTCACTTGCTCTGCAGGAGTGTGAATTTGGACTTCAACCAGGTGTGATGACATATTAGGAATATTGCAAGTGATTTAATCCAAAGAAGCCTACGTTCTCCAGGGGGGAAGGAAATTTCCGCTTCCATCGGCTTTTTACTGATGCTGGACAGACAGCACTAGCCGAGTGCCGTCACACTGATGGGGGTGGGATGGTTGGCTCCATCAACTCTAAAATGGGCAGAGATCCGAACTGCATTCATCTTTCCAGAGCTATGCAGCCTTGCAAAAGGACAATACACTAACACGTGCAGGAAGGCCAGAGATGATCATAAATGTGAAGGCTGAACATGCGCTTCAGGGGAAGAAATCATTAACAAAGAAAAGAACATTTGGCATCATAAAACCTTCCAAGGTTTAGAATTTGTCCCTTAAACCGATCCTCTCAATTTCCTGCACCCCTCTTTCCTTCACACTTTGTAGATTCTAGAAAGGGAAACGCTCTGTTATTCCAAAGTAGCACCTGTATTTTGTGTATCACCAGGGAAGCAGCGGCACTGACTGGCTGGGCATGGAAATGTGAGCTGTGATCTCAAATGGTAAGAGAGAATAGTGCCAATGAACTGCTGAAAGAAAAATCTGTTTCCCAGAAGCAATATAAAACACATTTGTCTTACTACTACCGCTGCTATATACACCAAGCAGAAGGCTTTAAAAATTCTTAAAAACAAAGTTTCAATGCACATAACAACAGGATTACAGAGATAAAGGCAGAGAGAGAGAGAAAGAGAGAGAGAGAGAGAAAGCCTTAAGAGTAGGGACACATTACCTTTGAAGCGCACGGTGTAACACTCTTTCTGTAAATTTTACACAAAAATGGCAAGAAATAAATTGTAATACACTTTTAAGACAAGACTGAATCTATGTTTTAATATCAATATCACTTTGAAATTCAATACTTTAGAATTCTTATGCAAAGCCAGAAAGCTTTTTAAAAGGGAGGGCTGGAATGTTCTTTCGTTCTGGGCACTGGGAGAGACAGATGCTCAGGGAAAGAAGGGAGGGAGGAGGTAGCTGACACAAATGTTCAGATCTAAACGTGTCAATAACGCCTATTAACACCACATTTCATGTTTCCCCCCCCTTCCCAAATCCCAGAAACTGCTAAGACAACTACCCAATCTGCCTTAAAAACAAAGGAGTAAAATATCTTAAATAGAAGCATACATGGAAAAAAAAAATCTCAAGTGTTAGGGAGGTTATTTTTGGTTAAAAATGGAAATTTTCATTGGGGGGGGGAAATGTAAGCAAATTCTAAACAGAATTTCATGGCCTTTTTTTTTTTTTAATGGTTTTGTTTCAAACTAATTCCCTTCAAGCGTGAAGGAAGCTTTTCACGTTTCACATTTGCAAGCTTTTTTAGATTAAGGGTCATTCTTCCCGGAGCCAGTGATTCAGTGTTTCTTGTTAAATTTCATTCTGTACTCGATGCTGTCATCACTCAATGTAATATGAAAATGATAAAGTGGCCTAGTGGGACAGGTTTTCTCAGAAGATAAAAAGGCCGAGCGCAGGTGGCTCACGTCTGTAATCCTAGCTACTCAGGAGGCTGAGATCTGAGGATCACGGTTCAAAGCCAGCCCGGGCAGGAAAGTCCATGAGACTCTTATCTCCAATAAACCACTAGAAAACTGGAAGTGGCGCTGTGGCTCAAGCAGTAGAACGCTTGCCTTGAGCTGAAGAGCTCAGGGACAGCACCCAGGCCCAGAGTTCAAGCCCCACGACCAACAAAAAAAAAGGCAAAACAGGTGACTACAGACTGTGCTATCCAATCTTGGTCCCAGCATTTTCTTCTCCCAGCTAATCTGTTTTAATTTTTCCTCCCAAAACACACTGATCAATTTTAAAGGAGTAAACTTTAAATATATCTAAAACCACTCACCCCTCCCAAATCCTAATACTTGACAGGAATTTAAGAAATACTAAATTTTAAAGTATTTAAAAATAAAAGCTTTAATGTCTTGTGAAAGTAATGATACATGGATTTGTGCAAAAAAAAAGTTGGAAATAATGTATAATTTTGCAATGAGTATGATAAAAAATAAAGTATTGTAGGCATAAGTGAGTATGGAATAGGGAAGTAAAGATAATTTCTTTCTTTCTTTTTTGCCAATCTTGGGACTTGAACTCAAGGCCTGAGCACTTGAGCCAGAGCACCACTCTGGGTTTTTTCTGTGTATGTGGCACTGAGGAACTGAACCCAGGGCTTCATGCATGCTAGGCAAGCACTCTGCCACTGAGCCACCTTCCCAGTCCCTAGTTTATTTCTAATTTAGCCTTTAACATACAACTTTTTTTTTTCCATTCTTCAAACTATGATATTGTCACACAAGAGGCACCCGAGTGTACTGGCCCGAAACAGAAGAACTTTCTAAAATCCAGCACTAATATAAAGGTTCACACCTATCAACCACTACCAACATTTCCTGCCCAGGCTTCATAAACACTACGAAAGAGGAAGTTTGATATTCAAAGATGCTGGCATGGGGTTGGTTAAGTGTCTTTGGTCACAAAAAATTCTACATGATCTGTATTTAACTATATATGAAAATTCTTCTGTATTCGCTTTTCCAAAAAAAAAACAACATTTAGAATATCTCAAGATTATTAATATTTACTAGCATGTCTTTTCAAGTTTATGAATGTGTGGATGGAAAAATGTTTCTACTCTTACATCTACTTTTTTGGTCAGTCCTGAGGCTTGAAACTCAGGGCCTAGGCGCTGTCCCTCAGCTCTTCAGCCTCAGCGCCACATCTGGCTTTTTCTGTGTATGTGGTAGTGAGGAACTGAACCCAGGGCTTCATGCATGCTAGGTGAGCACTCTACCACTAAGCTACATTTCTAGCCCACTTCCAGCTTTGTTGAGTAGTTAATTGGAGATGAGAGTCTCACAGACTTTCCTCCTGGGCTGGCTTTGAACCTCGATCCTCAGATCTCAGCTTCCTGAGTAGCTAGGATTTACAGGCATGAGCCACCATGCCTGGCCCCTTACATCTAGTTTTGCTACACCGAATTTTTACGTAGCTTTCTGAACCCTTGGAGACTACCCTTACCACCTAGCCTGTACGCTCATCTATGAAGCGATCAACCCTCATTTGGGTAAAGAAAACTGGCAAGTCTGTTGCTTCCTGGACATAAAATGATTCTACAAATTTCTATGAGGTCCCTACCCAGCAGGTTCAAAGCAAGCATTTCCTTGCAGTGAGATAATGTCTGCACATAAATCACCTTACAAAACATGGTCTTTCTTTTATGACAGTGTTCTAACAGCAAAACGTGTGCTCATTTATCTCCAAGAGTAGGGAACTTTAAAGGAATCAAAAACTCACTCATAGGAGGCAAAATACATAGGAAATGAAACAAAAAAAAAATCAACTGACAGCCAGCTTACTGTTCTATTCTAGAAAAGTTATTTAATAACAAAAGGTATAAAATTCTACCTCATCTTCTGAAACCACTATGTAATGGCTTCTTTATCTCGCTCTTTTTGTTTTTTGTGCCGGTCCTGGGGCTTGAACTCAGGGCCTGGGCACTGTCCTTGAGCTTCTTTTGCTCAAGGCTAGTGCTCTACCACTTGAACCACGTCTGGCTTTTTCTGTGTATGCGGTACTAAGGAATCGCAACCCAGGGCTTCATGCATACTAGGTGAGCACTCTACCACTGAGCCACCTTCCCAACCCTTATTTATCTTTTTGATAACTATGTGAAGACAATGAAAACGACCAGGGCTAGGAACATGGGTCTAGGAAGGTTCTCAAGGCCATGGGTACACACATACACACACACACACACGCACACACACATACACACACATACACACACACGCACACGCCAGAGTTGTTATTAGTAACAGGAGGAAAAAAAATGTTCCCAAAATATAATTTAACTTTCTAGCAAAGCGCTGACTACATCTAACACTTAGCTACAAAAATTTTTGTAGCATAATGGTTAATAAAATGATAGGTTGTACTTATAACTAAAGACACGGCTTAGAGTCTACAGCATTCTTGCCCTAAAGCTTCTATAACCGGGACTTCACAGGATTTTTTTTCCACTTAATTCATAATTACCTACCCGAAGAAAACTGTGTTCTAGATGGCTAAATCCCTTTCCACTCTAAGACTATAATTCCCTAGAATTATAGAATTAGAATGTACTATTTTATGATTACTGTATTTTTGCACAGGGTTGGCAATCATGCCTGGGTGTGCAGGCCATGTACCACTGAGCCACATAAGCAGGTGGACCTGTTCTTGTACTCTCTTCCTGACATTATCAGTAATAGCTCTACAAAATGCGAAGTGAGGTAAGGTGGTAGCTCACTCTGCCCCGGGTCTTTGAATTCATTTTAAACTGCTTCGAGGCAAACCACAGAATTTTCTTTTTTCTTTTTTTTTTTGCCAGTCTTGGGGCTGGAACTCAGGGCCTGGACTCTGTCCCCCAGCTTCTTTTTTGCTGAAGGCTAGCACTCCACCACTTGAGCCACAGATCCACTTCCAGCTTTTTTCTTGGTTTTTGTTTTTTGGAAGTTTAGAGATAAAAGTTTTTTGGAAATGCAGATTAAAGAGTCTCTAGGGCTATTCCTGCCTGGGCCGGCTTTGAACTGTGATCTTCAGATCTCAGCCTCTTGAGGAGCTAGGATGATGGCGTGAGCCACCTGCGCTTGGCTACAAATGGACTCTTTAGGAATTGCAGAGTTGTGGTATAAACAAACTACAAATACAACTCTACACAAGTGTATGAAGAGTCCTTCTGAGATTTGGAGGTCAGTTCTTCTGAGTTATACTATCTGTTCTTTGTGAGATTCCAGGCTGCATCGCAGCAATGATCCGTGACTACAAGCACAGCTTGGAAACAGGACATCACGCTTTATTATCATGTCCAAATCCAAAAAGACGCCAGGACATACAGTTGCAAGGGCTGCTCTTTTATGAGCTGTTGCCTCTGTTTGACCTTTCCTTCTATGGTAGTCACAATATATTTGTTCAGAAATAAGAACATTAATTTGAGTTTATCTTCAACTCATGGGAACTCATTTCTTTTTTTTTTTTTTGGGGGGGGGTTCGGTCGTGGGGCCTGAACTCTGGGCCTGGGCGCTGTCCCTCAGCTCTTCAGCTCAAGGCTAGCACTCTACCACTTGAGCCACAGCGCCACTTCCAGCTTTTTTCTTTTTGCTTATGTGGTACTGAGGAATCGAACCCAGAGCCTCATGCGTGCAAGGCAAGCGCTCTACCACTGAGCCACCTTTCTAGCCCCGAGACAGAGGATTTTGTGTGTGTTAAAATAGTTAACTACTTTCAAGACTACTTGTTAATGCAAGACCTTCCTGGAAGTTGACTTCAAACTAGACTTCCACCAAACTAAAACCAGAGAACTTTCCCTTGGGTGCAAATTCAAAGTGATTTTTTTTTTTTTTGGCCAGTCCTGGGGCAATACAAAACAAGAAAAGAATACAACTAGAAACAGGCTGAAGGTTCTATTTAGCATGAGAAATAAGGTTATGCATGTATAACTAGGTAATTATATGTGTGTGTGTGTGTGTGCATGTATGTGTACACATATATATTTAGTTAAAAAGCTAATTTCAACATTCTCAAGTGTGCTGAATGAAAATCTCATTATATAGTTTTGGCAGAAGATACCCACCGCCGCTTTGGGTTAATTCAATTATGCAGATTTTACAAATGCTGGCGCTGTTTTGTGTTTCTATATCTCATCAGAAAAGAACAATACTTCTCTCAAAAGTGGCTCAATGAGGAAAAATAGGAGGAAAAAAAAGCCACGTCACAACGGCTTCCTCGAACCAACTTTTTATGCTCACGCCGTATCTGGCCATACGCTATTAACAATTTTTAAATGTTCATCAGTAGTTTATATTCCAATTTAGTTTTCATAAACTGAGCCAAAGCCACTTTCTTCCCTCATGATGACAAGCTTATATATACTGAAAAGAATACATATCTTCTTTCTGTTTTGTGTGTGTGTGTGTGTGTGTGTGTGTGCGCCAGTCCTGGGGTTTGAACTCAGGGCCTGGGCGCTGTCCCTGAGCATTTTTTGCTCAGGGACAGCACTCTACCACTTGAACCATACCTCTCCACTTCTGGCTTGTCTTGGGGTAGTTAATTGAAGGCAAGAGTCTCATGAACTTTTCTACCCTGGCTGGCTTTGAACCCCGATCTTCAGAACTTAGCCTCTGCAGGGGCTAGGACTTGACTCTCGCTTCAAGGTTTCGTTTCTGAATTCCTGTTCTTACATGGTAAACCCCACTATGCGTGCTGGACGCTGAGGGAGCCCAAGCTGACTGGCTTCCGTGCCACGTGCGAAATCCATCATGAGACCTAAGCAGTTAGCGTTTCCACAGTGGAATTAGTCTAAGGACCGCCACCTTTCCTAAGGACAGCGCTTCTGGGAGGAAAGGGTCGTGTCTGCGCCACGCCTACTCACATGAAAAACTGGGAGCCATTGGTGTGCTTCCCGCGGTTTGCCATTGACAAAAGGAACGCTCTATCGTGTTTGAGAATAAAGTTTTCATCTGTTTGAAGAAAACACAAATTCGTCAGCCTGCCGCGATAACCCACTCTCCAAGTGATCATGTTCAAGTAATACACAGAAAGCAAAGGACGGGATTCCTCTTCTGGTCAGTATAGTTATTTGACAACATTTAGAGAAAAAAAAAAAAAGTGGTTTTTCTTTTAATAAACTAATCAAGTTCATAAAAGCATAAAAAGCCCAAAGGTACTAATTAAAGCCTTGAGAAAAAGGAACATATATTGAATACTTTATACAGACAAGCCTTAGAATAGTCACTTTTAGTTGCATGCATACCCGTGGCGAAATGATACGTGTTAACTTGCAGAGAAAAACTAATGACAAGCTTTTAGGGAACTCTCAAAAAAAATAAAACTCATTTCTTTTAAACTCCCAATTAACCAGCCAAATGAACTACACCTGGGTATAGTTCGTATATAGACATTTCAGTTGTCGGTAAATCTGTTAGTGACCAGAAACAAAGCTAGTCTATGGGGGAGAGGGGGAGGGAAATGAGAGGAAGTTTTAGGAACATGTCTAAAATGAAGTATATGGATAATCAATAGGATCACAAAATTATCTAAGAAAGTAAGCTCTGTAAAAATAAAAATTTAAGTGGCAGAACACCATCTTTAAAGTCTAAAGTAGCTGGTGCATGGAACATATACACTGAAGTGGGCTAGGCATTAAGGTGAAATTGCTACATGCTACTAACTAGACACAGTGAGTTATGAGAGGGGAAAATCCGCCATCCAAGTCGCTTCGATACGACTTTCCTTCCAGCGAAAACACCCTTCAAATTAACCCGAGCTCCCTTCTCACACTAATACAAACAAATCTGTCTTTAGTAGAAACCAGAGGGAAAAAATCAAAACCTTGGAAAAAATATTACCTTGGGAACAGGGCCTCTCAAAAAAAAGTAGTAATCCATTTTCTCCCAAAGGAAATATAAAGGACTATTATAATACTGCAGCTTTTATGGCACTAAACCTAGTGGATTTTTTTCTTTCTTTTAATGAATCTCTGCAACTGACTTTTCTAAGGCTTTTTGGGGGGCAAGTTCAATAGTTAAGATTTATTCAACTGCTACTACTGTAGGAATAAAACACAACCACATAGTTTTAGTATACAAAAGAAAACATACAAACCTTTGAGGAAGGAGGAAATATCATTGTATTTTAAAGAAATTGCTAGATTGAGGGAGGGGGGAAAAAAAAATCCACAACCCAGATTCTTTTTCCTGAGGTAGCAGTAACAACTCATTGGGAAAAGAAAACAGATACAGATGCATGTATGAAATAACATAAGGAAGTTTCCAAGTCTTCAAACAAAATAGAAATCCAGCAACAATCCTGACCCAGACTGTCCACGAATTTATTAGGTAAGGGTGCAAGGGAACAGAATTGGAGTTTGTGTTACTGAGCTTCGTTCTCTTACCTTTTCATTTTGCAAAAGACCACATTCTCTATAAACAAAAGAATATGTTGACAGTTTTAGGCAGGAAGAGAGGAGTTTTCATGTATATAGTTGCCTAACCTCCATGCTGAAAGTCATGTTTAACCATAAAGTTAGCCTTAATTAATCTGGTCAATTAAAAGTTATAGATTACCGTACAATTTATCCCCAAATTCATGCAAATAAAGTATTTTCATGCAGCATTAGTGTCATGCAAAAAGTGAACTATCAGTAAGCCTCTCCTCATTAAAAGGTATATGGCCAAACTGGACTTGCTTTAGCATCAGAACTGAGAAGACCGTAAAATATGAAGCCTTACCTTTAAAATAGCCACCGTAAATGGATTCACCACCTTTGCCATTACCTACAAATAGAGCTACAGTAAGCAAAGTGAAAGCTGAAACACATGATATTATACATACACACGCATCATGCATATAACTAATACATATAAATTATCTTGTTTTAACCTGATTTTTGAGAGAGGGTCTAGGTAGCTCAGGCTGGCCTCAAACTCATGAATCTCTTATCTGTGTCCTGAGGGCTGGCATTATACGCGTACGCCACCACGCCCAGCTACAAATTATTTTTGATGGTTTCGATTTGCCAACAGCCAGCATTTGAAGGCTCCTCACAGAACTTTAAAATATTAGTACTCCATCCCCAAAGGACCGCCACCAGCCAGTTATTTCTAACAATCGTCAAAACCTCCTAAGCTGTAGGATAAATGCAACTGGACAGTACTTTGGGCATTTGCCTATGCGGTTACACGAGTCGAGTAAATGACATGACAAAAGTAAAATTATAATGTCATAGTATTTCACTCCTGCACACATTCTGGAGCTACAAGATGTAACCACAGTCATTACTCAAGAATAACGAGCAACTGTCATCATCGGCACTAATAAGAATAATGAGGAGCTAGTTTACACCTGGTGGCTGCAAGAATTAGAAACATCACTTTTGGCTCTACCTTCGCTGAAGTCCCCACCCTGAATCATAAAGTTTTTAACCACTCGGTGGAATGTGGAGCCTTTATAACATAACTTCTTTCCAGTGGTTTTCCCACGGCCCTTCTCCCCTGGGAAGGAAAAAAAAAAAAAGAAGAAGAAGAAAGAAAAAGAAACAAAGTTTTAGCTACAAACCCGTCCTTCCATGCAAAGAACCCAACAAATCATCTCTATGGTGTGGCTCAGGTGAGAAAGCACCCACCTAGCAAGCCCCAGTGCCACTACCCACACACCTCTCCTATGTACTGGGTACCGCCTAAGATGTTAAGAAATGGGGGGATGGCATGGAAATTTAACACACTACCAAAAAAAAAAATGTGTGTGTGTGTGTGTGTATACACACACACACACACACACACACACACAAAATAGCAAATAGCATCTGGATGCCAAATCATGTTGAATGAAATCTAGGGTGCTGAGTATGTTCAAAGTACTGCAATCAGCAAACTTCTACCAAGACAAATCAATGGTGAAGGCGCGTAATTTTATTTTTTGTCAGTCCTGGGGCCTGAACTCAGGGCCTGGGCGCTGTTCCTGAGCTTCTTTGTGCTCAAGGCTAGCGCTCTACCACTTGAGCCACAGTGCCACTTCTGGCTTTATATATATATAGCTTTATATATATACATGTGTATATATGTGTATATATATATATACACACATATATACATATATATACATACACTTTTTTTTTAATTGTAAAGCTACTGTATAGAGGGGTGACAGTTACATGAGTAAGGCAATGAGTACATTTCCTATGGAGCATTGTTACCCTCTCCTTTGTTTTTCCCTTACTATCCCTTCCCTTCCCTCCCACTCCCCCCACCCCCACACACACCCCGGCCGGCTTTTTTAAGTAGTTTATGGCAGGTAAGAGTTTCATGGGGACTTTTCTGCAGGGCTGGCTTCCAACCATGATCCTCAGACCTCAGTCTCCTGAGTAGCTAGGATGTCAGGCGTGAGCCACTGGGCCCACTTCTAAGACCATTTTCTCTCCCCTTTTCATTTAAAGAGCTATCAGCTTAACTCACAGAGAAGGCTTAGTGAAAAGCAGTTCTGAGGTACAATCTCATCTCACAGACCATTATATTTCATGAAAATATCTACTATGCTAGAAAAAGGTAAATAACTGAAAAAAAAAATCCCCTTACCTGAGCAAAGGCAGAGGAAATTTTTGCATGTTTTTGGACATATGTCTGAGAAGAGCTGAAACATAATGCGACCAACTGAAATGAAAACAATCAGCAAGTTGATTAATACATATTAATAATATTACATAATGATCATAATAAATGTAACATTTTATACAGAGGAAACAAAAATAGGTAAACAGATATAAATAGAAAAATCTGTTTCGTAACCAGGTGCTGGTGATGCACGCCTGTCATCCTAGCAACTCAGGAGGCTGAGATGTGAGGATCGCAGTTCGAAGCCAGCCTAGGCAGGGAAGTCCATGAGACTCATCTCCAATGAACCACCAGAAAACCAGAAAGAGAGGTAGGATTCAAAGTAGTGGAGAGCTCAGGAAAAGCGCCCAGGCTCTCCTGAGTTCAAGCCCCGTGATGAACAAACATAAAATAAATAAAAAGAACAAAAACATCTTTTGGTCTATAGACAACTTCTGGCCATGGCCAGTTTCGGGATGGGGACTGGTCAACCAGAAAGGCCTGGAAGTTCAGCCCCATCCTCCAATCTCCAGAGAAGGGAAGAGGGCTCAGGATTCCTAGTTGACAATGACCCGGAAATGGTAACATCTCTAGAAAAACTCTCACACCGCCCAGCCCTGGGGCGGGGCGGGAGGCAGGAGGATCCTGAATTCCAAGAGAGCCAAGCCTAGGTTATATGGCGAGACTCTGGAGGTCGCACTCAAGTTCAGTGCTTGCTAGGTAGACAGGTTACACTAAACCACGCACCCAGCCCTCTTTTAACTTAGGTCTCGTTTTTTTTTTTTTTTTTGCCCAGCAAGCAGTTGGACGCCGTCGCTAGCCAGGCTCACATAGCTAGGGGGTTGCTTATAATTAGGGGGTTTATTCTGTTTGTTTGCTTATGCCATGTCCGACACCAGACTCCCCAGGTCAGCACATGCTAGGAAAGTATTCTATCACGATGCCAACGCCCCAGCCCACAATGAGATGGTTTTGAGTGCAGCTTCTGAGAACTTCGTCAGTAACCCAGGTCCTGCCAATCCTCCGCCGAATTAAAAACCACCTTTGCAGCTCAAACCTGCTTATTCCAGTTAACATTTTTTTGGGGGGAGGGGGGAGGGGGACTAAATAACTGACCATCTGAGTAAGTATTATGTCCCACTGATTATTCAAGCTAAATGGTAGGTTCTAGAAGGCTTTACCCTTAACTTGACACCCAGTCCACATGCAATAAAAGCAGGGGTTTTTTGGCTTTTTTTCCCTTAGGTAATATTAAAGTGTGTGTGTGTGTGTGTTTGTGTGTGTGTGTGTGTGAGAGAGAGAAAGAGAGAGAGAGATTGCACAAGGTACTTTACAAACATAGGCTGCTCTGCAAGTATGTGGTTTCAGAATTGTAAGAAATTTTGGCTGGGAACGTGGCTCAGTGGTAGAGTGCTTGCCTAGCATACCTGAGGCCTCAGATTTGATTCCTCAGCACCACATACACAGAAAATGCAGGCAATGGTGCTGTGGCTCAAATGGTAGAGAGCTAGCCTTGAGCAAAAGCAGCTCAGGGACAGCGCCCAGGCCCTGAGTTCAAGCCCTGGGACTGGCAAAAAGAAAAAATAGAAAATATTGCATCGTCATTAAAAATGAGGACAGAGAAAGACAAGGGAATTTCAAGTATTAGTAAGATTTTTTTTTCCCCCTTGTATTCTGAATGCACACTAAAGAAATAAAACAACTGCCGGGCGCTGATGGCTCACACCTATCACTCACACCTATCATCCTAAACTACTCAGGAGGCTGAATCTAAGGATCACTGTTCCAAGCCAGCCCAGGCAGGAAAGGCTGTGAGATTCTAATCTCCAATGAACCACCAGAAAACTGGAAGTGGCGCTGTGGCTCAAGTAGTAAAGTGCCAGCCTTGGGCTGAAGAGCTGAGGGACAGCGCCCAGGCAGAGTTCAAGCCCCGCAGACCAACAACAACAAAAAAAGGAAATAAAACAACTATATTTTTATGAGTACCATATGCTAAAATTATGTATTTAGCTGTAAAATCTTAAACAACCAATCAGCCAGCACGTTTGCTTCCTGCAGCTCGGTGAAATGAAATCACTGTCGGGGCCATAGGGCTGGTGAACCCACAAGCTGCTCCTCCCTCCCACACGCCCCCACTTTTCCACTACTAATTAAAATTAGTCTGCCTAATTAAAATCATGCTCTGTCTATAATCCATCCCACTGAAATTCATACTACAAAAATACCATGTATAAGACAGGTGGGTTGTACTGTTTAGGAACTCCTGTCAACAATCCGAATTTATTAGACAGGCAGCGAGTGTCCTAGTTCACTCATGAGCAATTAAAAAAACAACAAGGAGGTCATCTAAACTTAATGGTGTAAGCCAGGGCGTTCACTTTCTGTTCACTTTCTGTATGCTGAGGGACAGCGCCCAGGCCCAGAGTTCAAGCCCCAGGGCCGACAAAAGAAAAAAAAAAGAAAAAAAAGAAAAAAAAAGAAACGACCCTGGCTATCCCATTTAAAAACCAAGTTTAAGCCCCTGACAATGCAAAATGCTTAATGTACTATTTAAAAGGGGAAAAGGGTGTTACATTCTAAAATATTACCATCCTAAAAGACCCAAAAAGGCTGTACTGTAGAAGTTAAAGATTCACAAAGGGGCAGGGAAGGTAGATCAGTGATAAGAGTGCTTCCTAGCATGCATGAGGCCCTTGGGTTTGATTCCTCAGCACCACATACACAGAAAAAGCCAGAAGTGGTGCTGTGGCTCAAGTGGTACAGTGCGCTAGCCTTGAGCCAAAGAAGCTCAGGGACAGTGTCCAGGCCCAGAGTTCAAGTCCCAGGACTGGCAAAAGAAAAAAAAAAGATAAAGGGACATGAGCTAAAAGTAGCATCTGATGCTTAAATGGATTCTGTATGTGATAAATGACTTTTTAGGCTACCTGACCAAAACAATAGGTATATATTGTAAAGATGTAGTTGATGAGCTACTGTATTAGAGTTACATAAGACAGTGTCCCTATAAGAAATACACAATGAGCCAGGCTGAGGCCTGTCATCCTAGCTATTCAGGAGGCTATGATCTGAGGATCGCGGTTCAAAGCCAGCCTAGGCAGGAAAGTCCGTGACACTCTTATCTCCAATAAAACCCACTAGAAACCCGGAAGTAGCGCTGTGGCTCAAGTGGTAGAGCGCTTGCCTTGAGCTGAAGGATAGTGCCCAAGCCCAGAGTTCAAGCCCCATGACCAACCAAAAAAAAAAAAAAAAAAAACCACAATGAATCATTTCAAGACAAAGAGCCATGACGTAAGCAACTCACCCCAAACAGTTCAGAAAATATAATGTGTGGGTTTCAAAAAGTCTGAAGCTAGCTGGGGCAACACAATGAGAGGCTGTCTCAAAAAAAAACAAAACAAATCAAAAAGCCCACAAATAAATAACTGAAAAATAAAGACAAATCCAAGCACAAGAAACCTATTAAATATAGTTAAGAACAAACAAAATAACATTGCAACACAGTAAATAGTTAACAAGCAAAATAAAATCCATCAGTTTGCAATCTACAAGAAAGCCACTTTAAACCTGTCTACTAAGTGAGAATACAAGTTCAAACCCCACTACTACAAACAGAACAAAAACCTGCATGCTTAACAGACTACATGTATAATACAAATATGAAACAGACACATCATATTTAGACTTGGGATTTATTTATCCCCAAGATACCTTATTATGTATATGTGAATGTTCCAAAATTCACAAAAATCTTAATTTCCTAAAACACTTCTAGTCCTGTGAGTTCTGATAAAGGATATGCAACCTCTACACTTAAAAGTTAAAACACTTGCCGGGCACCGGTGGCTCACGCCTGTCATCCTAGCTACTCAGGAGGCTGAGATCTGAGGATGGCGGTTCAAAGCCAGCCCGGGCAGGAAAGACCGTGAAACTCTTATCTCCAATAAATCACTAGAAAACTGGAAGTGGCGCTGTAGCTTAAGTGGTAGAGTGCTCCTCTCGAGCTGAAGAGCTGAGGGACAGCGCTCAGGCCCAGAGTTCAAGCCCCACGACCAACAAACAAAAACAAAAAAAAAAAAACACTTCTTGGTCATTTTTAAGTTAAAAAGTCTCAGAAAATCAGAAATAGCCTGCAGTTTTAAGAAAATGACAGACACATCAAAATTTGTCAGATATCTGTAAATCTCCCTCTATATTTATATAATTAAACCCTTATGTCAGTAAAGGAATCATAGTGAATGAGGTAAGCTTCCGCTTGAAGAAACTAAAAAAGGAGCAAAGCACTAGAAATGATATTTTAAAAAATTAAAAAAAAAAAACCCAAACAACAGAAATCTGAAACAGAAAAAGAGCAGGGGAAAATTCAATGAGACTAAAATCTGTTTCTTTGGCAAACCTCTAAACAGAAAAAAGGAGCAGACTTTACCAATATCACAAATGAAAGATAACACATGAGTAGACAATCAGGAACAACTTTATGTGTATAAATCTGACAGCTTAGGTAAAATGCATGAATTGCTTAGAAGCCACCAAAATCCCAGGCTGTGGCTCACACCTATACTCCTAAATAAGGGGGCTGAGATCAGAGGTTCAAAGTTCAAAGCCAGTCTGGGCAGGAAAAGACTGAGACTCTTACCACCAATTAACCAACAAAACGTGGCTCAAGTGGTAGAGCACCAACCAGCTATAAGCACAAAAACTCAGGGACACCACCCAGGCTGAGGTCAAGCCCCAGGAGTAGCATAAAAAAATAAAACTGGGAAGGTGGCTCAGTGCTTGCCTCGCATGCATGAGGCCCTGGGTTCAATTCCTGAGCACCACATAAGCAGAAAAAAAAAAAAAGCCGTAAGTGGTGCTATGACTCAAGTGGTAGCGTGGTAGCTTTGAGCTGAAGAGCTGAGGGACAGCACCCAGGCCCAGAGTTCAGGCCCCAGGACAGAACCCTCCCCCCCAAAAAATACTTTCATTCAGTGGTCTGGTAACTTGCGAGGTAATTATTATTTTGTACCGTCCTGGAGCTTGAACTCAGGGCCTGGATGCTGTTCTTGACCTTCTTTTTTATTCAAGGCTAGTGTACTACCTACCACTCGAGCCACAGTTCCACGTCCAGCTTTTTATAGTTTGAGTCTCAGACTTTTCTGCCCAGGCTGGCTTCAAACCGTGATCCTCAGCTCTCAGCCTCTTAGTAGCTAGGATGACAGGCGTGAGCCACCGGTGCCTGGCTCTTAGGCAATATTCCCAGAACTATCAGTTAAGTATTATACAAGACTGAACCATATGAAATTGCCAATTATCATTCGGTTCAAGGTAAAACCATGTAAACATTCCTTGCTTTGGTGACAGTTCTTAGATGTTACTCTCTTCTATCAGTTACTATGAATCATGTGTGATGCTGAAATTCATTCAACATTTCTCCAACTTCTGGAGAAGTCTATAGCTATTTGGAAAGCTAGCAATATGGACAAATCCCTCAGAAGGAAGTATTTAACACGGCTACACAATCTTAGTTTAAGCTAAGTGCTGGTGGCTCACGCCTGTCATCCTACTTACTCAGGAGGCTGAGATGGTGATGGGAAAGAGAAAGGAAAACGAAAGGAAAAAGGAAAGGAAAGAAAAAGGAGAAGAGATGGAAAGAAAGAAAAAGGGAGGAAAGGGAAGGAAGGAAAACAGGCAGGCAGGCAGGCAAGCAAGTTTTTTTGCCCAAAGCTGGCTGGTACTCTACCACTTGAGACATACCTCCACTTTCAGCTTTTTTTGTGGTTAATTGGAAATAAGAGCTTTTCAGACTTTCCTGCCCCAGCTGGCTTCTAACTGTGACCCAAAGATCTCAGTCTCTTAAGTAGCTAGGATGACACGTGTGAGCCACCTGTTAACAGCTATTTCATTCAAGGCTGAATGCTGATGTTCACTGGAATTTTCTTGTAAGAACAAAGCAGAAAAAGATAATATACAAAAATAATATGTATGTCTTCAATCAAAACTTAGTCCAAAAATACCAAAGAGCTAAGAAAACGGTTGGATCCCTGCATGCTACTCAGAATGAAACCATACCCTTTAGAAGGAAAACAAAACAAAAAAATCCAGCTATTAACGAATAGATGAATAAACTCCTAATAAAAAAACCCACCAATGTTAAGCACATACACATTGCAATTCCTTGTACATATGTGCACATAGATATACATATGTAGTTTTACTGTTATTCTTGTACAGAGGGTACCATTGTTTTTATGCATATGTGTGTACATATGTAGTGTTATCACTATTAAGGTGTTGTACAGAAGGGTTACCATTGTTTCTTGGACGTTACTTCTTCCTCTGCTTTTCCCCTGCAATTCTGCTGCTTACAAAGAATGCTGATTTAGCTCAAGACTTTCCCTAAAGCTGGGAATGTGGCTTAGTGGTATGGTGCTAGTCTATCATGCATGAAGCCCTGGGTTCGATTCCTCAGTACCACATACACAGAAAAAGCCAGATGTGGCGCTGTGTCTCAAGTGGTAGAGCGCTGGCATTGAGCAAAAGAAGCTCAGGGACAGTTCCCAAGCCCTGAGTTCAAGCCCCAGGACTCAAAAACTAAATAAATATATGGTTTTAAAGGGGGAAAAATGGGAAAACAAGAGTTGGCTTATCTATAGTCTTGCTGTGATTTTTGGAAATAACAGAATACAGACCTACACTTAAAAAAACACGACTACCACCAAAAAAAAAAAAAAAAGAAAAGAAAAAACCCTGCCCCGATCTGGGGCTCACCAGAAGTGTGGATCTCCTGAGAGAAAGAAACAGAGACACAGAGACAGAGAGACAGGGAGAAGGAGTGCACCCCGTTTTCCTTGGTTGCCAAGGCTGGGTAGGAGGGCATGTCGGGGGTCCGGTCCCGGTGGGTGGGGTGTGGAGTTCCAGAGAGAGACAAGAGAGCAAGGCCAGGATTTCCACGGGTGTGTGTGTGCACCTGGACCACACTTCTCTCCATAGGCCCGTGTGTGTGTGTGTGTGTGTGTGTGTGCGCGCGCGTGTTTGTGTACCTGGACATTTCTCTCCACAGAGCCCCCCTCCCCCGTAGTCTCCAGCTCCCCAAAAGGTTTAGGGAGGAGGGGGGAGGGTTGTCTCCCTCGGTCGCCTCCCCCCTCCCCCTTCCCTCCACCCCCCCACACAAATGTCCAGCTCACCCGGCTCCCGGTTGATCTCGATGTCGAAGTGACACTGGGGTCGGTCCTGCGCCCCCATGGCGACCGAGGTTGGCAGCACCAGCTGGGGGGGGGAGGGGAGAGAGGAGAGGAGAGGGAGGAGGGAGAAAGAGCAGTCAGGGCGGGGTCTGGGGACCCGGGGTCCGGGTCGGGTCTGGGGGTCAGGACCCAGGGTCCGGGTCGGGTCTGGGGGTCAGGACCCGGGGTCCGGGTCGGGTCTGGGGGTCAGGACCCGGGGCCGGGGTCGGGTCTGGGGTGCAGGCCAGGCTGGGGCGGGGTGGGGTTCCGGGGTCCGGGGCGGGGTCGGGTCTGGGGTCCAGG